CACTGAAATTGCTGAGGAAGCAACTTGGCCACCTATCTCCACGCAAAGTTAAAGCATATATTTGAAATGACGTTCACTGTCTACCCAGGGTCACCTGGGAATGAGCAAGCTGGCCTTATAAATCTTTCCTGACTACTTGTTCTTAGCGTGCTTCGGTTTGTCATCCTTCTTAGCTTTTTTGCTCTCTCAATCCTGTTCTTATTCTCCGCTTCCTGAAGCCCTGTTATCTTCTGGCTCATCTCTCAGCTTCTTTAAATGTTAACCTCGTTTTCCTGACTTATGGAATTGCAGCATCTTACTTGATTTGCTCAGGGAAACACTCCTTTTACCGTTTAAATCTTTACTTTTGGAAAATCGGGGTTTCCTTTTCTTTCTTTTTTGAGGACGTTTTTTTATGAGCATAACATAAAATAAGTTTATGGATTGTTAGTTTTTCAGTAACACCTTTGCATTTCAGAATTGAAGACAATGTGCCCTCCCCCAAACCAGGAACTGTGCTTTTACCCAGGGCATTTGCGTTCTCGACTGCTGATCCCAGAACTGCAGGTGCGGCTACAAGGGCTCCACATGCTCCACTCGCCAGCCAGATGTCCAGGTGCTGAGGTCCTGCTGGTACATTCTCCAGCCTTACACCACTATTCCAAAAGTTATGTCTTAGGTGAACAAATCAGGGCACAAGTCATCATCATTCACTGGCCTACACAGTCACTGGAAATGCAATACAGTCAAGTCTACTGGAGTGGGAACATGGGGAGTTGAAAACCACCAGAGCCAACGTGACACTTGCTTGTTATCATCCCGTATAATGGCCCAGTTCTCGCCATTTCATGTCAGATCATGCAACCTTGTCATGAAAGCACTTCATTGATATTTGTTACTACAAAGCTGAGAATTCAGCACTTGCCACTGAGATACTGTACAGCTGCGAGGCACTGGATCTGGGGTTGTACAGCCGGGGAGCAGAGACAACACACTCTGAAACACAGAGAGCAACAGAAAAGGAAGACACACAGAGACGAGAGCAGCAAGAACGCTCACATGGAAGAATGGAAAGTAAGCGATAAATGTCTTCTATTATTAGGTTTAGAAAGGCATTTTAGCCAATGGAGAAATTTTGATTTGAAATGCCAGTATTTCAAGAGACCTATCCTCCTTGAAGGTAAAAATGTTCACTTTTAATTGAATTATAGACCTTTTCATATATATATATATATATATATATATACAGTATATATATATATTTCCCTCCTGAAGGAGTTCTCATTAAGCATTAACATTATACTGAGTTTTCTTTACAAATCAGTTTGTTGGAAAGAATTAGAAAATTTTCAAATTCTGTTATTTCACTCCAATTTTATAGTTTATTTGGTAACTTATTAACTTGGCAAGAACACCAGGAAAGAAGAACTTGAAGTATAGTCATTTTCTTTTTCCTTTTTCCATTGACTTTAAGTAAAGGCAGTGAAAGAGACTATTTTTGCAGTCACTGAGAACTGGTTACCAAAAGTTAGTCAACAGATTATTGTAATTTCTCCCCCTCAGTCCCTAGAAAATAAGTTATATGACAGTCACAGGAAACAGCTCAAAGGCAAAATTTAACTGAAAAAAAATCATATTGAAAAGAATTAATAAAGATTAAAAATATTAAGCTTAATGGTTCCATAATAATGGGGTTCAGTGAACAGATTGCTTTGCTCTGTACGATTTTCTGTCATTTATGACAATGAGTTTTCATGGGCTTGGGGGAAACTGCAAGACTCTGAATTCTCAGCTTTTCTATTTCTATAATATGGAAGATAACATATTTATTTACCTAATAGTATTTATACGAGTTAAATGAAGTACAGTGCACAGCACCTACTAAATATTTAGTAAATGCTATACGGGAAGCCTTTGTGACCCAGTGGTTAAAAACATGGCCTGCTAATTTAACGCTTGGTGGTTCAAACCCATCACGACTTCACAGGAGTCAGATGACCAAGCCTTCAAAACCCCATGGGGCACTCACGTTAGCTTATATGGCCTCTATGAGACTGGATCAATTTAATTTTCTTTTTAATAATAATTATACAAAATTACTTCACGCATCATTATTTCAAAGTTATTAATAAGGTTTAAGTTAGTGAATCAAATGTTTGATCTTTATAGATATTTCTTAGAATTTATTGTAGGAGTAAGAGGGGGCTTTAAAAATTCATAGAAAAATGGAAACAAATGATTTTGAAAATTTCCCTCAAATATTTTGAAGTCTCCTCATGTGTTTTAAATATCCTTAGAAGAGAAACTTTAGAATAGCGTGCTATAGTTTTGTTTGCGTCCAATTAATGCTTTACTATGCCATAAAACAGTAAGTGCCTGCAGATTTTCTATAATTCTACCCAAATTTAAATTTGTTTTCTCTTAGATTAAAAAGGTTTTAAATCTGCTCTTGAGGGGAAAAAAACTTGAAAAATTCTTTGCATATCAGTATGACAAATTTAATCATTAAAGAGTTCAAAACTTTGTCTGAAGATACAATCTGACAGTTGGAAAAGCTAAGAAAAACATACCAAGTCAAAAACTTTTACAATTAGTTACTTGCCATTCATTTTTTTTTGCCATTCATTTTTTTTAAGCAATCTAATATGAATGTTGTCAAACTTCAATCGATCAAATTGTTTTGGCTTCCTTACTGCTACTTGAAGAGTATTTGCTCTTTGAAAGTGCACATTAGAGCTCCTTTTCCCGTTTAGCAGCAAGCTAAAATATTCTGGAAGGAGCGGGATCTGGGCCTGACTAGTGTCAAAACTAGATCACACCTGGGAGGTGAAAAGAAAGGGAGATTGATGTGCAAGCCATTCTGAGCGCACAAGTTCCGTGGAAGGTAAGTCTCCCCATCCCAGTCCTAGGAAATTCTATTAGCAGAGCAAACTATGGAATAATAGTTAAGGTTTATTGATGACATTGTGGGAGAGGTGGTTTTGTTAATTCTAGATGATACTGTATTTTAATGTGTAGGAAAATGTTACATATTTTTGGTGGGTTACACACATGCTGGGCAAGGTCAGCAGCTTGAACCCACAGGAGAAACACGAAGCTGTCTGCTGCCATCAAGATGGAAAGCCTTGGAAATGCACTGTGGTGCTTCTACTCTATCCTCTAGGGGCACGGTGAGATGTAATCGAAGACCAGTGATGTGCATTTGCATGGAAAATGTGTCTAAGGATGCCCTTTCTACATTTCTAGAAACATCTCTTGTTCTTTGTTGCTTTAATTCTAAGAAATGATATGGTGCATAGCCTGACTTATGAAAATGCCGACAGACAATACATCTTATTTCTGGGATCATCGTGGCTTTGACACATGGATTATATTTCTCTTCTTCCAGATTTTTTTTAAAATTTTTTTTTTCTTCCAGATTTTCAATGGCTATATCTACCTGGGAAGTTCACAGGAATATGATCAAAAGAGGTTCATGAAAATGAACCTGAAAATTTATTAATCAAATATCATTAGTTATGAGAATAAATTATAATGACACTTTCAAATTAGGAAAAAAAATAACAAAAATATATTTTGTGAACTCTGATGAAGAAATCTAAATATCTAGTAAATTGGAATCTAAGTGCCCTCCCCTCCCCAATCCTGGCAAAAATCATAAGTAAAGAACATACATTTGTCAGTTTTTACTACAGTTTATCAACTTCTTAATCTCTCTTAGATGTAAATATAAATGTATGATGGCATTATGAAGAGAAAAGGGAAGAGAGAAAGAGATTGCCTTTAATTTGGTAAATGATGTTCATAAATAGCATATAAATCACTACCTTCAAAATAATTTCGAGTCAGAAAAATAATTTTGAATCATGCAGTTTGGTAGCCACCTTCTCAGACCCCATTGCATAGTGCTAGATGAACTAGACTTAAGTAGCTAGACGGACATCCACAGAGCGCTAGAGACGAAAAACTTCAACTTTGCTTCCTGATTTGCAATTTGCTGAGTGAGCAGTGTTTAGGAGAGATTGCAAATATTCAAATATTTTAGCACCGCTCTGCTCACTAGCAGAGGGCTGGAAGGCTGTGTGATGACTCCACAGCATCTGGTTAGATGTTTGAAGAAGACTAAATGCCTGAGGAACTGAGAAATTCCCTAGTTATTTCAATATACAAAGCATAACTAGAAGAATGCTATTACCACGATTGCAGGGAAATAAAACATGGGGCAGGTGATGAGGAATTGCACTTTTGATTATTTGAAAGAGTGAATTTATTTTGGATACTTTAAGTTGGCTCATCATTCTTATAAATATGAGAAGACAGAAATAATAGAAAATATTTAATAGGCCAGATTATAAAAGGAGGATATTTTATTTTGCTATGGAAGAATTAGAAAGGATAGATGGATCGTGTGAGAAATTACGTCTGAATATCAGTTATCATTGTTGATTCTGGTTTTCATTTCTGAAGGATGATAAACATTCCTACTGATACAGAATGTTATGATTCAAGCAAATAATCAGTATGGTTCATAAGGCTTACCCTATATACACATTTTGTTTTAATTTTCTTTATAACTTAAAAAAATAAGAAAGAGGCCCAGATAAAGACCCCCTATTTAAGCTCATAGAAAAACCATTGGTTGATAATCTCTGGTGGTAAAACTTAACTAGTCTAAAACGTTTGGTGGAGGATTTTAACTTTTTAAATTAAAAAATACATGTAAAACATGACTACATTCATCAGACTATCCAGTAGTTATGGAGAAACGTCCAGTTTACCATAGCACCCAATGTCTCATTTTCATCCATCAATTCCACTTCTCCTCCATGACGGCACTATGCAGTATAGCTTGGAGATAATGCATCAAATCCCTTATTAGGAACTTACAAATACATTGTGTGTGTGTGTCTGTGCGTATTCACATTTGGACACGACTGCTTTATTATTTTGTTAAAATAACAAATAGCATTGTAAAGTCCAAATCCTGACATGCCTATGTATGCACAGTTCTTGCCATGGTACTATCTATATGTATCTACATTGCAACCAGTCCTCTACTAACAAATATTTTTTGTGTGATTTTTTTTTTAACATTTAAAATGACACCTTTACATAAGCATTGTGTCCAGGTGTATTTGTGCAAATTTCCAGAACTTGAATTGCTACATTTCAGTCTATTTTTTCAATGGATGCCTTTTGTTGTTTTGTTCTTGTTGTTTTGTCTTTTACAAATATTTTGTCTAATATTAACTTTATATTAATATTAATTTAAATATTTTGTTTTCTAAATAATTGACACAAAGTAATCTGAAGATTTTGTGTGTTACTTTCTATTCTTAGATATGATGAAATTTCATCATACTGCAGTGAAACATATTGTATTTTGTGATGAATAAATTAATGATCTTTCTGATTTCATTTCACAGAATAAAAACTGGAGAATTATATAAACTAGCATACTGCTGTCTCTTGTTTAAATTAGCCCTAATTATAAGCATGTCTGATATCTACATGCTTTAAGATTTGGGGCAATAAATTTACTTATCCAAAATAATTATGTTTATCT